TTTCTAATTATATAGCATTATGATCTGAGAAGATGCTTTGTAGTATTTCAATGTTTTTAAATTTTGAAGGCTTGTTTTAAGGACTAATATATGGTCTATCATGGAAAATGTTCCATGTGCACTGGAAAAGAATGTATATTGTGCTGTTGTTGGGTGAAGTGCTGTGTAGATGTCTATAAGATCAGGTTGGGGGATTGCATTGTTTAGCTCTTCTGCATCTGTGTTGAGTTTCTTTCTAGTTGTTCGGTCTTTCATTCAAAGTGGTGTATTAAACTGTCCCACTATGACTGTGGCATCATCTATTTGACTTTTCTACTCTTTTAAAGTCTGATTTATGTATTTTGGGGCTCTTTCATTGGGTCCATAGATGTTTATTATGGTTCTGTCTTCTTGTTCCATTGATCCTTTAATTATTATATAATGTCCTTCCTTGTCTCATATGGTGGTGTTTGTCTTAAAGTCATTTTGATCAGAAATTAATATTGCCATTCCTGCTCTTTTACGGTTGCCATTTGCTTGATATATATTTTTCCAACCTTTGATTTTTAGTCTATTTTTGTCTTTTTCTCTAAGATGTGTCACTTGTAGACAGCATATTGATGGGTTTTGTTTCCTTATCCAGTCTGCAACTCTGTTTCTTAAATGGTGCATTTAATCCATTAATATTCAGTGTAGGTATCAGCAAGTATGAATTGCTTGCTGTCATTTTGTTATGTGTTTTTTCATGGTGTTCCTGGTTTCGTTGTTCCATATAATTTTTTGTGCTGAGTTCATTTTGTTTATGAATCATGTTATTATTTCCTTTGTTGCTATTGTTTTAGTATTTGCTAAATATTTGTGCTTGTCCTCTTTTTTATTGTGATGTGAAGGTTTACCATTTTTCTTTAAGGTTACCCTGTGATTTATAATTTTCTCCCCAAGTTTAGAATAGTCCACTCTACCTTCAACTCTCTTGACTTCTTCACCATTTAGGAATTCTGTAACTACAGTGTTTTTTTCCTCTTTTTGGTTTGTAGTTGTCCTCATTTGCCAATTAATGTCTCTTGTTCCTTGTTAACAATCTTGTAAGCTTATTTTACTTTGGATATGTCCATTGCTGTGTTGGTTTCTGTATTATGTCATTTTGTGTATTAATAGTTGGTCTTTTTTTCGCTATTATTGGTTCTCTGTTCGAAGGACTCCCTTTAGTATCTCTTGTAAGGTTGATCTGGTTTTAACAAATTCACTTAGTTTCTAGTTATCTGGAAATCTCCTAATTTCAGCATGGTATTTGAGGGATACTTTTGCTGGGTGTATAATTTTTGTTTGGAAATTTTTCTCTTTCAGGGTTTTATATATACCATCCCATTGTCTTCTGTCTTGCATGGTTTCTGCTGAGAAGTCAGAACGTATTCTTATTGGTTGTCTTTTTTAAGTAACTTTTCGTTTTTCCCGTGCTGATTTCAGGATTCTTTCTTTGATTTTGGTTTTGATGAGTTTGATGATGATATGTCTTAGTGATTTTATTATGGTAGATCTATCCTGTTTGGGGTTTGTTGGACTTCCTGAATGGATATATTCTCATCTTTCATCATTTCAGGGAAATTCTCTTCCAAGAAATCTTGGACAATTTTCTCAGTAGTTTTATTTTTCTCTTCCTGTTCTGGAATTCCAAAGACACGTAAGTTATTCCTTTTGATGGTATCCCACATGAACTTTAGGCTTTCTTCATTTTGTTTTGATCTTTTTTTTTTTTTGATTGATCTCTTCCAAAGAAGTATCAGTTATTTTTCTTCATTCTCATTAATTCTGTCTTCCATTGATCCCATTCTACTCCCTTGCCCTTTCAGTGTGTTATTTCTGACAATTTAGTGTTCATCTTCTGGATTTCTATCTGTAGATTTTGTATCATTTCAGATTTTTCATTTGTTTGTCATATAGTTCTTGTATTTTCTTCCAAAATTATTCTAAGCTTTTGTTGTTGTTTTCCTTAATTTTGTCATTGTTCTCTTTGATCTTTCTCTCAGTCCTCTGAAGATACCTAAATACAATTCTTTTGAATTCGTTATCAGGGAGTTCCAATGTTGCTTCTTCCTCAGGGATGTGTTCTGTGTCTGTATCCTGCTCCTTTGTTTCTACCACTTTATCTTGCTTCTTTGTGTGGAATGTGATGGTCTAATACCGTTGGTTCTTGATCATATGCTACCAGTTCTTTTTTGTACAGTGACTCTCTGTATTCCTTCCATGTTTTTTTGATGCTTCCTGCATTGTTCAATATTTTGCCCATAGACTCCTTCAGTGTTACAGTTTTTTCTTCATTTCCTTTGGTTTGAGAATGCCAGTGTGTTCTTCTCTTTTTTTTTGTCTAACTCCAGGTCTTTGCACATTTCATTATAATACTTTTCTTTGTCTTCTTGAGCCCCCTTTTGAAATCTTCTGTTGAGCTCTTTTATTTCAATATTTCTTCCTTTTGCTTTAGCGTTGTTGTTGTTGTTGATAATGTGCCATCAAGTCGGACCTGACTCATAGCAACTCCTCCTTGGGTTTCTGAGACATTGTCACTATGGAAGTAGATTGCCCAACCTTCCTTCCAAGGAGTGGCTAGTGGATTTGAACTGCCAGCCTTCTGGTTAGCAGTCAAGTGCCTTAGGCACTATGCTACCAGAGCTCCTTTTGCTTTAGCAACTCTGCATTAAGAACAAATTTCAGAGTCTCTTTTGACATACATTATGGTCTTTTTTTCCTTTCCTGTCTTTTTAATGACCTTTTTGCTTTCTTCATGTGTGATATTCTTGATGTCATCCCACAATTCATCTCATCTTTTGTCACTGGTGTTCAGTGCATCAAATCTGTTTTTCAGATGGTCTCTAAATTCAGGAGGGATATAATCAAGGTCATATTTTGACTGCCACGGACTTGTTTTAATATTCTTCAGATTCAAGTTGAACTTGCATAGGAGCAGTTGATGATCTGTTCCAAAGTCAGCTCCTGGTCTAGTTTTAACTGATGATATTGAGCTTCACTATTACGTCTTTCCAAAGATGTAGTCAATCTGATTTCTGTATATTCCATCTGGTGAAATACACATGTATAGTTGCCATTTATATTGCTGAAAACAGGTATTTGCAATGAGTGAGTTGTTGGTCTTGTAAAATTCTATCATGTGATATCCAGCATCATTTCTGTCAACAAGGCCATATTTTCCAACTGTTGATACTTCTTTTTTTCTAATTTGCTCATTCTAATCACTAGCAATAATCAATACATCTTGATCTCATGTTTGGTCCATTTCAGAATACAAAAGTTGGTAAAATTTTCAATTTCTTCATCTTTTGCTTTGGTGATTGGTGCATAAATTTGAATAATAGTAGTATTAACTGGTCTTCCTTGGAGGTTTATGGATATTATTTTATCACTGACAGCATTTTCTTTAGGACAGATCCTGAAATGTTGTTTTAGACGATGAATGCAATGCTATTCCTCTTCAATATGTTATGTCCAGCATAGTAGACCATATGGTCTGTTTAAAAATGGCCAATACCAGTCCATTGCAGCTGACTAATGCCTAGGATATAGATCTTTATGCATTCCATTTCATTTTTTACAATTTCCAATTTTCCTAGATTCATATTTCTTACATTCTATGTGGTTCAAACCCACCAGTCATTCCTCAGAAGGAAAATGGGGCAATCTACTTCCATAGTGATACTACCTCGGAAACCTAAGGAGGGGTTGCTATGAGTCAAGTCCGACTTGATGGCACATAACAACAGCAACAACAACAACATTCTGATTATGGATAGGTATTTGAGGCTATTTTGTCCATTTTGAGTTGTGACACATATGCAAATGAAGGTCCTTAAAGCTTTACTCCATCCATGTCATTAAGGCATTGCTACTTTGAGGACGCTGCTCTTTCCTAGTCATATTTTTAGTGCCTTCCAATCTAAGGGGCTCATCTTCTTTCACTGTATGAGATAACATTTCACTACTTTTCATAATGTTTCTAGTAATCTATCAGTGTTTCATTACTGTTCTTAAGGTTTTCAGTGGGCAATCCTTTCAGGAGTGGATGGTTCCATCCTTCTTCCCAGTCTGTCTTAGTCTGAAAGCTCTGCTGAAACCTGTCCACCATGGGTGACCCTCCTGGTACTTGAAATACCGGTGGCACAGCCTCCAGCCTCACAGTAACATGTAAGCCACCACAGTACAACAAACTGACAAATGGTGACTTGTTTCATAGTAGTTAATAAATAGTAGTATGGTAGAATAGCATTTAGGTTGCAAAAACGGCAAGGAGGCCACATGTTCTGACCTCCTCTAATCCCACAAGGGGAAGACAGGATTACCAGCAGTAACCCAAGGCCTATTCCTGCCAGGCCAGACATGCTGCCTTCCTCCAGCCCTTTCTTCAACCGTTCCTCCCAG